ATTATTAAAATATTATAAATTATGATATAATTAAATTATATGAAATTGAATTTTAATAGGTAATTTTACAATTATATTAAATATTAAGTGTTCTTTATAAAAATCACACTATTAAAATTTGAAAATGAGGCTTTTGGCTTCATGTATAAAATTATTATAGATCATTTTACAGTTTAAAAAAAAACCAGTTTGAAAAAAAAAATTATTAAATGCATGTATATCTAAAAACATTATACGACTACATGAAAATGCCTCCAACTGCAATCCCAAATGCACCATTAATTTGTAAAAGTTGAAACCTCCGACCTTGGAGTTGTTATTATTCATTAAAAATCAAAAGAAATTTGTTGTTCCTTCCAAAATAAAAAGAAAAAAGAAAAACGAAATTTTGTTGTTAAAAATTAAAAAGGAAAATGAAAATTTTTGTGGTGTTGGATGTGGCCCATCATTGTTTATGGAAGATCCAACGTTAAGCAAAAACAACACCCAGGCCCATCTTTTTAATCAAAATAAAAAACCCAGGCCCTTCGTAGAATGAACCATCAACCATGACACATGAACGCCTAGAGGGCCTTGAATTTAACAGCAGAGCCACATGTTCTAACCAGTTTCAAGAAATAATTTTTTTTAATGTTAAAAAGTAAGCTACTTTACATTATAAAAATGTAAATTTATTAATTCGATTAAGTTATTATTGATCTTCTACTACTTCCTCTTTTTCTTTTATTTTTAGACTTTTCATTTTTTCTGAAATATTTTCTTTAAATAATTAAAAAATATGTTGAAAGAACAATCTTCTTCAATTGAATTAAATTCACCAAAAAGAGTCATTTTTTTGGAGATTTTGGGTGTTAGCCTGATTGGTATGGAATGTACTTCCTACTCTATTAAATCAAAGTAATGAGTTTAGTATTGCACACAAAAGCTGATTCATTACTACATGTGAAAAAATGATGAGATCTATTTTTAAGGGAAAAGCAAAATGTGGGATATTCATATGTCATAGGGAGGAGTCCAACTATAAACTCAAAAAATCAAAAACGTAGATAAAATATTGAAGAAATTTACTCCATTATCATTGCAATGGAAATCAGAATATCTAATTCCCATCTTCTCTGTCTCCTATTAATAGAATCCAAAGGCTTGAATTTTTCATGAGAACATGGCACCATCTCATGGTGTTTCTCTATAGATACTATTTCTTCAATGTCAGATCTCCATTCTCCATTGTAAATCACTTAAACTCACTTCAACCAGCATAATCATTAAAAATGAAAAATTTTCACTTTTCCTTCATCATCATTGCTCCCCCTTTCTCCCTTGCCGCAGCCAACAATTGTCACTTTTCGGTAAGTACTCAACTGTTAGATATATTTATCATGACTTTCCTGTGTCTTTTGTCATTACTTAATGAATCATTCAACAAATTTAGGACTATGAGATTTCTAAACTAGAGATTTTTTTCCATCTAATATTGGATAAAAAAATTTTTCTTTGTGAACCTACTCCTTGTTTAAGAATCAGTTCATCAAACCAAATATATTTTTGGTTTTAGATAATAATTGATATATTTTTTTATTTAACATATTTATTAAAACTTAACAATTTAGTTATTAAATTTTGTAAGTAAAATTTTTTATTTTAAATTTAAAATTAAAAATAATAATACTTTAATAAATATATTATGAAATATATTAAATAAAAAGTTTCACAAATCATTTTTCTTTTTATTTTTCATATAAGAAGGTTGCGTATACACCATTTATGTCAAAACCGGGTCGGGGATAAAAGCGGGTACGGATTCAAAGATCAGCCTAACATTGGGGGACCCATGGGGCAATCCCATGTCCGTCTCAAATCTAAAGGCGCAGGGCCTCAAGAGCCCCAGTCATGACTACTTCGAGCGCGGGAATCTCGACAGCTTCAGCGGCCGCGGTGCCTGCATCGAGCCGCCAGCCTGCCGCCTCAACCTGACCTGCGATGGATCGGGGGAGCACCACGGCTGGTACGTTGACTACATTGAGGTCACATCGACAGGGCCGCACAAGCCCTGCAGTCAGAGTGTTTTCTACGTGGACCGTTGGCTGGCCTCCGACGCTCCACCGTTTGAGTTGACGGCAGTTGTTGATGGGTGTGAAACGTGGGATGAGTCGCCGGAGCACGGGATGAATGCGGCGTTTGAGGTTAGGACTTAGGAGACTCCCTTGTTTTCTTCTTCTTTAGGCCATCTTTTTGTTCGAATTTTGATGGTTCAGATCCATTTTGGGTGGGTTTTGTTAGAGGAAAATCAAAATTTTGATCATTAGAAATTTTCTTTAAAACTTTAAGAAAATAAAAGTTTTGATTAATTTACAAGGCATAAAATTAAGAAAAATGATAATTAAGGTTGAGAAAAGTCATAATG